ATTGGATTGTGCGAACAGACGAGTGCTTTATGCACCACCTTAGAGGCTTTGTTCCTGCACGGCTTGAAAGACTCGTTTCTGTGGGCCACTATCAATGTGATAGCTGGAGATGTGGAGCGACGACCGGAGCCGAGCTTTTGGTCACCGGCCATGGTGTTCATGCACAAGCAGGTGATCGAACAAATCCAACGGTTGAGCCAGATAACCTCCGAGACGGGCCAGTGTCGGGCGTGGGTGCGACAGTCTCTCAACGATTCCGTATTCTCGTCGTATTTAAATAATATGCGCAAGAATGGCTCCGCACTGCGTCCGTACTACAAGAAAGATGCGCTGCTCAAGGACAGCGAAGGTCTGGAGACAGCAGCCAAGATTATGGAGAGTCTGGAGGCTTATGTGACATTCGATTTGCCTGTGAACTCAAGCCTGCTCAATCAATGGCCCGACTATGCGCTACAGCTATCCGATCTATGGACACCAGCACTCAAATCCTGCCCAGTAAGTAGAGCAGGAAAAAGTATTTATTAAAAGTCCATATTAATAACGTATTTATTTCTTTTTCAGATAAGCAGCGGCGTGGATGTGGCCAGCTCCTTGGCTACTGAAATCGTAGCCATTCCCACGCCACAGCCGCTGCACACGAACGAGCTCTTCTCGGAGTCCATTTCGAACAGTCCATTCAGACGCGGAGGTCAGTTTGGAAATGCAGACCTCAACCAGCACGAGATGCTTGATGTATTTATGCAAAAGGTCGACGAGCTGGATATTATTAACGAAGAGCAGACAAGCACAGCGGGAGAGACAAAGAAAGATCATGAAGAGCCCACTGAGGCCGAGAAAACCGAGTCGAGTGGTGGCAGTGGCCAGCGGATTCGAAAGCGTTCCATGCGTCTCATTGAAGAGCCCTTCTCTGAGCTGCCGCAGGGCAGCAATTCGCTGACAAATCTCATGCAAACCTCGTGGTCCGCCGATCTGGATGCCCATACGCCCACAGAAGAGACCGGAGCGCGCTTCTTTCAGCGCTCGGTTAGCATGAGCAGCACGACAAGCCTGCGCACGCCCACGGCAGATCGCTGCAGCTACAATGCGCTGCTACGCAAGCACGAGAGCAATCGCGAGGATGGCTCCGGCTGGTCGCAGATCTGGGAGAAGTTTCGCGCCAATCCCTCCACCTTGAACTTGGCGCAGCAGCAGACGACGCAACGAGATCTTGATTCAAATGCCACAGATGATATGAGTGAACTGCAATCAATTGACGTAAGTTATTGCTCTATTGGAAAGCTTAATAATAATAATATTCTCTACTCACAGACCAACTCGGAATTTGAGCTGCTCAACTCCAACTTCGAAATGGGCGAGCTGCAGCAAATGGTTGCTCAACTCTGTCAGCTGTCACGCGAGCCTGGACTGAATGCACAGGGCTTTCTGTGCAAAGGCTGCCAGCATCCGCTGGGCATTGGCGACAACAATTTCCAGTGCGTAGATCCTGACTATCAATTATGGTCTTAGCTTTAACAACACGCCTTCTATCTACTCCCGCAGAGTTTGTGGCTTTAGTGGCAATTACTATTGCAACATCTGCATGGAGCCGGAGCCTCAACTCATTCCGGCACGCATCGTCTACAACTGGGACTTTCGCAAGTATGCCGTCAGCAAGCGGGCAGCACTCTTTCTGGCCGAGTTTCGGGCACAGCCCTTCCTCGACATGCAGCTACTCAATCCGAGCATTTACTATGCTTCCGAAGCCATGGCCGAGCTGCAGTCCCTGCGCATTCGCTTGAACTTTATACGTGCCTATCTGTATACCTGCGCGCCGAGCAGCCTGAAGCTGCTCCAAGACCATTTCGCTGGCCGGGAGTATCTCTACGAGCACATACATCAGTACTCCATAGCAGATCTGGCATTAATACAGCGCGGTGCGCTTTGCCAGCAGCTCCAGAAGGCCTTCAAGCTGGGCGAAGCCCACGTGCTCAAGTGCCGACTCTGCCAGCTGAAGGGCTTCATTTGCGAAATCTGCCAGAGTCCGCGCGTGCTCTATCCCTTTCACATTGCCACCACCTTTCGGGTAAGTCTATTGATCCGCATTTCGATTGTAATTGTAATTTGTATTCCCATTTGCAGTGCGTCACATGTGGTGCTGTATTCCATGCCGAATGCCTGAACGAGCATCAGCCGTGTCCCAAATGCGAACGTCGACGTCTACGCGAGGATCAGCCGCTGCAGGAGGCCGTTGAAGATCTAAAGCTCAAGCATAGCTCAGTCGCAGCTTAGATTGCCATTTAGTTCATAGCCAACAAAGTGCGATTGTTTATTGCTTACGGAATTTGATTCTGTTTTGTATTTACACTATGTCTAAGCTTGTTATAGTTCGATTGGCTAATCAGCAGATGCTTTTAGCCAATTCATGTTATTCTCACTATTTTGTAAATAACCGCTTGCAGCTAATATATACTCAAGAAAACAAACTGCATTTAAAAATGAAATTAATTTATACAAAATTCACCTTTGGATAATTTTAGTGAAATGGATCTGTGCTAAGAATATATATGTTATGATAACTGAATAAATATATTATATTGCTTACCATTATATAAACTGCCTTAATATATCATATATATTTCGTATTTCAGCCCAACCCACCCATGAAATTCATTTGAATTCGGTATTTCCAATGCTTTTTTCAGTTTATTAATATGAGAACTTTAAATGGAATGATATTGAAATAGAATGTTGACTTTTGAATTATTTTTATGGTTTAACAACAATGAATTTCATAATAATCATAAGTAATTAATTTGTAGTAAGTGAATAATATTGCCCTAGGGGTTTCAACAAATTTATATATTAATTTAGAATAGTTGTTGAAGAATGGATACAGAAGTTGTTCGAATTGTATCACAAATGGAAAATAATACATTTAATTAACTGATTGTGGTATTGATGTAATATGATCTATTCAGACTAAGTGTAAATGTTGCTTGTGTTTTTCTTTTTTGTCATTTCAATTTTCCTTTTATTTTACGTTGGAAAAACCTTTGGTTTGTGCTACAGTTTTCATTTGCATTAACATTTGTGTGTTTTCTTTGTGATTTAATAATAAAATTTTAATTTCGGTTCAACAATTTGTTCAGTCTAGTTTAGATAGGGAGAGCGACAAAAACGCTCGTAAATATGCGAATAGTACTTACATATAGATTTATATTTATATATATTAATGGGGTTTCTTTGCTGGTGTCGCCTTTTGAATAATTTGACTAACTTTGGTCTAGATTCAAATGCCACTAAGTTTTATATACAGATTAAATATAGTTAATATGTGTATATATGTATATAAATGTATGCATGTATGTAAGTATATTTGTGTGTTAGCCTGGGAAGACATTAAACTTAAAATAAACAGCAAGAGAGCTGAGTGAGGCCGTTACAATTTGAAGCGTGATTCAATTGAACATTTTCAATGCTTGCATTTTTTAGTACATTTTTAAGCCAGCTGTTAAGCTCAATAAGTTGGCTGCTAAATGATTCAATTGAACATTTACACTTGTGACATTTTTTAGTACATTTTGTAAATCAACCGTTGCCATCTAAAACGAATTCATTTCATATCTACTCTTTCGACCACATTTACAATGTGTACATACACAGGCATGTGTCTGTTACATACATACAAAAACCAATTTTGTGCATCTGCATTTGTTTTATGTCATTATTGTTCTTTTTCTATTTTATACACTTTACAGGGACACTTGTCACATTTGCTTTTGCACACATTCACACACACGTATACCGAATTGCACTCACGCATATACAAACTCGATACAATAACAACAGTAAGGACTTGCACGCTTACACTTACACACGCACACAAATTGGTATACATATATACAAAGCTTAAACAGGGATAGAAATTTACAGTTATGTTTACAATTAATAGACCGTCGAATTGTGCGGCACACTGGGCGCCGGCTGTGACTTTGGTCGCACATTGACAGTACTTGTAGCGCTGCTGACGCCGACGCCGACGCCGCCGCCTGCTGCGCCATTGCCGCCATATAGAAAACTGGATTGTCTTATCACAGACACTGTAGCAGCGGCAACGCCTGCCTGTGGAGGTGGTGCGGGAGCGCGATGTTTTTTGAGTGGCGCATAGGCGGGCTTCAGTCCCGTTGTGGGCTTTGCATTGTTGTTGCATGCAGCGGTACTGTTGTTGTTGTTATTATTATTGTTGCTGTTATTGCTGTTGGGCGCCAAAGCGGCTTCTGCATTTCAAGCGTGACAGAGAAGGCATTTAACGTAGGGGGAGAGAGAGAAAGAGAGAGAGGGAATGATATATTTATATATATATACATACATACAAAGACTGTCATGTTGTTGTGTTTTGGTTTTGTATTTAAAGCTGCGCCCGTCACTTAGGCAATGGAAATTTTTTACAAGCAAGCAACAAACACAAATGTTTAAGGATCAGGAAAGAGAGTAGAGGAACAGCAGAATATGGATGACAAATAGGACGCGTGTAAGAATGTAAAAAAATGTACAAATGTTTAATGCATATCAAAATTTCAATTTCATCTTTGCTTTGTTTATTGTTCATAACTTCAAATAAAACAATAATGTGCTAAAATTAAATATTCATCAATATATAAAAAACCATACATTTTGTGTTGTAGATAAGATATAAAAGTACAAGTACAAAAAATATCTATGTATATATATGTTTTAATATTGTATATGCAAAGCCGATCGTAGACAAATACATAAAAGTAAAACCATGCGCTACAAAAGTGTATAGAAATAATGCTGTAGGACTTGAACATAATGCGAATCGAGACATGTACATAGATAAGAGGCATTTTAATATTTAAATATGCTTTACTAAAAATAATACATAATATGCGTGTGCTTAGTAATAATATCGCTGTTTTCTTTGTTAAATAAAATAGATATATGTATGCATAAGAATATATAGTTAAATATATATATATATATATATATATAGATAGTATATATAATAATATTTATATGCATATTAACAAAATTATGTGGAATAAAGCTATCAACTTTTCATAATTATAAATATATTTTAACATTTTTAAACAATCATAAATTGTAACGTTACATTTGATAGCATATGTTTCATCTCTTGATGTGTGTTTGTATATGTATGTGGTGTGTGTGTGTGAGTGTGTATAAAAGACAATTTAAAATTGCATCGTTGTATTTCGTTTCAATATTTCACATCGAACTAAAATGCTACATTAATATGTGTGTTTTTCACTTATAAATAATAATAAAAAATAATAATATTATGCAACTTTTCCAATATAATAATGTATATATATACATATATATGTATTCATTATGTAACAGCGTTTCATGTGTGCATATAACAATAATTATAATAATAATAATAATAATAGTAATAGTAATAATAATAATCAGAAACATAATCATGTTATTATTAACACGGCGCGTGGAGTGAGTTTGTTTTGACAGTAGAACCAACCCACACACCCAAATATAAACACACATACACCGAAACACACACACACA